CTGACATGTATTCCCGTTAAACTAAGATTATAAATTATGACTGGACATCATGACTTTGTAAAAGCTACATAAACTCTCCAGCCATACACATGAGCGTGTGTGTGCATTAAAAAAATCTTTCAAGAGGAAAATTCTGAGCATACCTGGACTTTTCTAACTGTATACAGTATGGCTTCAAGAAATCTCAAATCTCTGCTGAGATATGTGAAATTAGAAGTGAAGGCTTCTAATTTTGCATCACCGAATTTGATGGCACTTCTATGATCAATTTAGATGAGTTGTTTGGAAAGAATTAGGACTCTCCAATGTTAAACTTATTTCTTCTGGAGTTGCCAAACTGAGATTTTGTGGGGGTTTTCCCCCCATTCATTTGTTTTCATCTAACTTTGGGAAACATACAAAACTAAAGGTCAGAGACCAAACCACAGGACACAATCTAAACTTCAGTGACATTAAGTTTTGATACTGTGTTACTTAAAGGGCAATCATAGCTGTTACATTTAATCCATAAGAGAGATTCACATCTGAAGTGTTGCAAAACTCAATTAGAGAATTGCACTTCCTCTTGAGTGCCAGCTCTCAGTTTGCTGCAGTATTTAGGGTTTTGAAATAATATAAATGTATAAAATGCATAAGTTTTATATTTATATTTTTATAAAACATAAAATATGTGCATATGGTTCTGATCATCAGCCACTGCAAAAGAAATGGGTGTAAATGGGAGTTGTCAAACGAGGCTGAGCTTTGCTTCCCTGGAAAAGCCACTTTGGGTGAATGTACACGAAAGCTGAAACTGTGAACTAGGGACTGCCAAGACTGTTTTCATAATGTTTTGAACTTCCATATCTGCTGCAAAGACACACTGAGAAACGCCTCCGTGAGCTTGTCTAGGGCTTGGGCACACTGGATACAGGAGACACTTCCCATGGGAGCTTTCCCTCCCAGATCTGGGGCTGGGAGACATTGCCAATCTCAAACCTGAGCCAGGCTGCTCATCATTCTCAATTTCAAATGATTTCCACAAGACACATCACGATCAACACCTTGGCAAATCAGTTCTGGAGAGCTATCACTGCAACCAACCCATGGATAAAGGCTGCTCTCATGGCTATGGCAGGTGGAAATCAGATTTTATAGCATCTGACTCCAGGTAAAAGACTATCTGTTGGTAACTGAAGTGGTTCACAGATTTTATTTTTTTTTTCTTTTCAGCTCGTGCTTACTAGTCCAGCTACCATTAGTACCCAATGTATTTTGGGAACAAAATTTTATTAATGCAGTTGAAATGCCGCTGAGTTGATGTTATTTACGTGACTGACAAAATGAGAATCTTGCTGGACATATTCTAGAACAAAGGAGAGGAAAATAAATGTGTGTATATATATAGACACACATTTGTAATCTCAAATTGGACTTTATTTTGTTCTCTGTCTGTCTACTGCTCAAATAGTTATGTTCAAAAAGCTCTGAAGTGAGCCACCTTTTCTATGGCAACAACACTAAGAAAAATGTTGAGTTTCCATGATCTAATTTAATTCTATTGATGTGATCTTATGGTAGCAATGATGCTTAAAATGCTCCAAGCTCAAATTGCCGTAGCATTTGCCTCCCACTGAAAGAATTTAGGTTTTATTATTTTATACTCATAGATGAAAGACTCTTATGATACCACTTTAGTGTATGCTACAAGCATACAATTGTATTAATAGTAGGTCAGGCTGTAATAATATTGAGATGGAAAGGGAATATTGCTGAGATATGAGGTATCTGATAGGTATGAGGGATTTATAAAAATACCTGCATGAGCAGTCGCTTTCTGTCACAAAACATGCACAATCATCATTTGGAAATACACAGCTCCGAGAAATTACAGGGCATGTTCACATCCCTACTTGTCCATAACCTCAGAGATCAGTATTTCTCACTCTTCAGCATCCCTCAGGTTTTGGAAATCAAATCATCTGTGTGTGCCAAGAGTCAGGTGGGAGAGCTCCAGGCCCCTATTTTCAATAAACGTTCAAAAAAGTCCCAGCTAAAGTCTGTGGGAATGGTCTTCCTAAGCCAAGATTTAAAAAGATGAAATCTACAACTGCATGAGAGGAAATAGAAAGAAAATTCAAGAAGAGCTTCAGGGGCTAACAGACCTAAATTTATGTCCATGACTTACTGTGAGTTCTCACTTGAAATGGTTCTACATCCTGAAGAAGGGAGAAGGACATTTTTTTCAGAGAAGACAATGACTCATATGTTAAGAGTGATGCAAATAAAGTGCCCAGGGATCGATTAAATTGATTTGATAAAGGTGCAATGTTATTGGAAAAATCCTGAAGATCACAAATTACAAAAATTCAAAAGATAACAAATTTCACAAAAAAAGTGAATTTTAATCTGATTGTGGGACTACTTCCCCCTTTACAACTATTTTTTTGACATCAGTAGCAGGAGCTGAAGGGAATGACTAAACATTCAAAAAGCAGTAAAGGACTTCATCTAAGGAGGATTCTACCTCACCTCACATATGTAATATATATAACACATAGATTAAAACTTGGTTTATTTTTAAGGAAAGGCATAAAAGGAGTGGCTGTCATATACAGCCATACTTCTTATTAAAACCTGCTGCATTTGTTAAGCAGGCGCACGGAGTGTTATTGATTTTTTAATATTGAAGAAAATGTCCAAAGTTAGTTTCTTGGCTAGCAGCCTACTCAGTTAACAAATTGCTCACCTGGATAATTTAAGAACCAACTTACATGAAATGCTTCAATCTCCAAGGGCACTGAAGGCCCTCATCTTACAACTAAGCATGGAAATCAAAGTCCTCCACAGCCAGGATGCAAGTTTGGTAAAAGAAGGGAGTTAATAAATAGCTTAGGAGGAAGCTACCAGAAAGCTGTGCTCGTTCTGCAAGCAGTGAGGGGAAACAACAAGGATTAAAGGATGAAAATATCATGTAATGATCACTTCCCTTCCTAAGGTTCTTCTGTCACAACCATCCTTACAATTGGGGTGGGAGGTAACACCACAGAGAGCTTTTGGGTTCTGATGGTAGCAGATTTTATGGGTGTGAAATTTGCTAATTTCGTGGGAATGCCAAATACTAACTTCCTCCAGAAGATTCATCATTTTGTTTAAGACAGCTAAAATGTACATGAGAGTAATTTCCCACTCTTCTGAATTTATTTATTATTTAGTTATGTATACTGAGAAGCCTATTGTGAAGTCTCTACTTGTTCACAGCAGTCTAGTATTGAACATAGAGGGGAAATATCTCTCACTGCATATTTCTCCTTATCCTTGTTGCAGAGAAACTCTGGAAGAATTTCCACAAGAGGATGAGTGAAGTTAAGAGGATTCTTTATCTATAGCTTTGGTGGTTATCAGCTCTATTCTTTAATTGAAACTGAAGTGAGCAGCTGTTAGCTTCCCTGCCATTAGGAGCTAACGCGTTACATTTGGAACAATAAACAGTTGTCGCTATTTGAGTTCTTGCCATCAGCACCTCCCAAAAAACACCTGTGCGAGCCGTCTATGTGCTCGAGTTGGCTGTTCCGAGGTGCCAGCCTTTATAAAAGTTGCATGAGCGTTTCCTCCCCTCTCAGAGGGAAGAGACAGACTGGTTTGCGTGGAGCAGAGAGTGTTTGTGCCTGTGTGAAAGGGAGGAGAGCCAGGGTGCAGTTTGATACCTGTTGGCAACGCCAGCGGCTCTGTGTAGCGCCGCTAAACGCCAGCTTGGATTGATTCCACTCTATTTAGTCTGCTCCTAAACGCACACTGCTTGAATCGAGACAAATTCAAGACACGAGCGAACGGCAGCGAACCGCAAAGGAATTCCTGCCTGTGTTAAGTAGTGTCACCTTCATGGCGGTAGGCAGAGCCTAAATAAGGGTTGGGATTAATCTCTTTTCTATTACCCAGTCAGGAGCTGCCGGAGGCTCTGTGCTGGAGCCTTGCGGTGCCTCGCAGGCTGCGCTGCCGAGCAGGGATGCTGCTGCTGCTGCCCAGCAGAACAGAGGGATGTGCTCCTCCTCTGCCTTCCTCAAAGAGAACACGAAGCGTTTGGTGGCACAGCAGCTCCAGGGGGCTGCAGCCTCCTGTGTTCCTGCTCTGGGAGCCCTGGCAGCGAACGAGCGGCTGGGGCTCTAAGGGGATTTCTCCTTCTCCCAAGTTTCAGCTGGGTGCATCCTCTGTTTAGTCAGGCAAAGGATGGGAAGGAAAACAACTTGTGGGACAGGGATGACTCCTGGCTAGTTATGGCTATAGATGCATTGCCATCGCAGCTTTCAAGAGCAGTATTTCTGCGATGCTTGCCTCTCTCAAAGTAGGAAGGGAAGCTATGAAGCCATTCCTATTTATTTACTTACTTAAGGGGTGCAAAGCTTTGCGGTGAGGGAAGGTGATAATAAATCGGGGGGATTTCCCCCCCTCAAGGTTCTTCCAGCCTCCTCCTCCCTCATTTACATATCTGGCTGGTGGGTGATTTTTATTCTCAGCACGAAAACTGCAATCTATTTCAATGCATGAATGCAGCCCTGCATCTATTCAACACAGTGAAATAGCCCAGAGACTTATTGTACTAAATAAGAAAACAAGGAGAAGAAACGGGCTCGCCAGCCTTAGAAGCAACCCTCTGTGATCCAAAGTCCTCCCGATTCTTTAAAGGAGGGTTGTAGAACGGAAAGAAAAATAAACCTCCCCAAAAAAACCCCACCAACAAGCGGGAAGACAAATACAACCACCACTTCTTCTCGGTAGAGAATAATAGTGATAATAAAAAAATACTAACAAGCATCCCACTACATTTTCATTATCGGCAATTTGAAAACATCCGACTTAATGAGGGACCCCAGTTCGGTCTAATACCGCACCTACGGACGAGGAAGGCGCTCGCCCAGCGCACCTTGCACGCACACAGAGCCCAAGTCAGGCAGAAACCCACGGGGCGAGAGCCCTCTGCCAGCCAGCCGGCCACAAATTGTCTGAATAAAATGAATACTCACTCTTTCAAGGAGCAGGGGAGCCGCTCGCCCACAGCCACTTCACGCACGGATGGAAAGGGTGAGGTAAAAAGCCACCAGCCGGTCCCTGGGAACAGGCAGGGTGCTCCAGATTTTCTTCTCATGCTTTCCGAGGCTGCCGATGCTGGCGGAGCCGCTGCTTGCCGGGCTTCCCGGGTCTCTGTGCCTGCATGCCGGAGTGCAGTTATTAATTTCTCCCTTCGCACGAGCCGGCGGCAGCCGCACGTCTCCAGGAAAGCAGGGATATTCCAAATAAATCCGCTAATTCCGGGGCTGAGCGCGCTGCCGTGCCCGCCTGCCTGCCAAACGTAACTGTGAAGCGATGTGGAAAAGTGAGCCGGGAGCCTCCCCTGACAGCTCTTATTGGGCTGATCTCGGAGGCAGGTCTAGCGCTGGGAAATTCGTGTAAGCACTTTGGGGTGGTGGTTTTCCCCCTCCCTCCGCTGCCCGCCTTTCCCCCGGCAGGCACACAACTTTTCCAGGGGCGGCGGCGCCGCTCGCTCCTGCCGGGAGCCCGGGCCGCCAACTCTGAGCCGGGGCATCTCCTCCGGCCGCCCGGGAGAGACCGAGGGATGCGGGAGAGCGGGGGTGGGCGCCGGGCGGACCCGGGGCGGGGGGGGCGGGCGCGGAGCGGGGCCACCGGGGACGCGCCCGCCGGGGCTGGGACGTGCCCGAAGCGATGGCAAAGAGCAGCCCCCCCTTCTCCTGACCCCGTCCTTTGGGGTGATGCCGGCCGGGAGAGGGATGCGGGGAGGATGCGGCAGCACCCCGATGCATGGGCCGCGGGCAGCCGCTCGTCTCCGTGCGACAGCGCTGCGGGCGGGCGCCCTGGGGACAGGGAGGGCAGCCCTGAAAAACGCTTTTCCCAACACGCCCCCGGGAGCTGCGGGCGGCTCGGGGCTCTCGCAGCCTCGGCGGCCCCGGGGCAGCGCCAGGCCAGGATGGAGCAGCAGCGCGCAGTAAGTCCTTGACCCTCGGCCCGTCCCCAAATGCTCTTTGTGACCGACAGCGCCGGGATCCCGCACGGCCCCGCTGCTGGGGCACTGGGGCACCGGGCATCGCCACCTGCCCTGGGCTGTGCGGAGCTGGAGCGGGCCGGTCCCGTCCGGGCCACACAAACAGCACGGGCAGCACCCCGTGAGGGACAGGCCACTGGCAGCCCTGCCCGCCTTCCTCATCCATCGGGCTTTTCTCCTTGTCGTGCTGCATGGATTATCTGTTAGCAGATTAAATGTATTATTTTTTATAATACATCCTAGCTCTGATGTTTGCCGGAAGGGAAGGGGTAAGAGCACAAGGTCAGGTGCAGGCAGGGACTCTAAAAATGGAGGGCTGGCTCCACACTGAGCTGGTGCTGTTGGGGAAGTTGAATGCCCTCAATTCCATCTTTCTCCAACTCTCCGCGACCAGCACGATAGTGTGGTTGAAATTAATGTTCTGTGTGGTTCTATATTAATGAACCAGGTTCGTTGCTCAACTTTATTTTTAAAGGGCTGGTCACCTGAACCTCCTTCAGATCACCTGCAAACCTCTCCACCTTAACCAAAAGATGACTATTCTGTTGAAGATCTACCTAGGATTGCAGAAAGTGGAGCCTAATGTTCTGCTATACAGTAAGAATACCATATAATTGAGTTCCATGATTGCTAATCTTATTTTCCATGCTGACCCTATGAGTGCATGACACTGCATGAGACCCTCCCTGTGTAGTTCTTACCTGCTTGACTTTATCTTGACTAAATGCAAGCCAGTGCAGATAACAGGTGCATTTCTGCTTGCACAAATCCTCCTTCTGAAAAGCCCAAGACTCATGGGAATGTAGCAAAATGCACCCAGAACGTGCCATTTTTCAAGGTCAATGAAGAAACATCTATCGCTTTGTTCCCCTCAGCCCAGGCGCTTACCTTCAGAGCTGTGAGCCTGGGAGGATTGCTTGGAGGAGGATGGATATGAAAATACCCAATACCTGAAGCAGGCAGAGAGCCTTGAGGGAAATACAAAACACTTGGCAGTGCAATAGATAAGATCAGAAATGTGGTTTCCTTTTACCTGGGGTTTTGCTGAGGCAAGGAGTGTTTTTCTCCCCCATCTTTCCACCAACTGAACAACACAGTGAAAATACAGATCTTGTCACAAGGAAAGTGTGAGGATGCTCAACCTGGCTTTACTCCTGGGAATTAACACCAGTTTTCAAACTTCTTGTAGGTTTCAGTAAGAGTGGTTGCACACCTTGTTTTAATTTCCATTTAAAACACCTAAAGGAATCAACCAAGAATAAAAGTTCTTCCTAAAAAGAGCCCTCATGTCCTTGCTTTAAATAGGCAGCACAGCAGTGTGTGGGAAGAAAGCTAATGGTAGAGGTTGTACCTCCAAGTGCAGCTTAAAAGTTGAGTTTTTTGTTTTGATTTCAACCTTTGACTTGTGCCATTTGTTCTACGTGACCTTTCTTGCAATTGGAAATTATCAGGGCAAAAGCTGCACTCTTTCATCTTCAGGTTGTGGGAGAGGATGGTAAGTGTCTTGTTAAAATGGATTATGCCATCCATGGATTCCCCTGCTGGAAAGCCTTGCAGATGATGGAGTAAATCTTGACAGGAAGAAGTGTATAGATGAAAATTAATGTAAAAATAAGCTTGGAATAGCAGAGGAACATTTGCAGCTTTCTGCATCCTATCCAGATGAAATGATTTAATGATATTTATCATAGTGAGAGATATATATATACACACTACTGCATTACACTGATGAATATGCTGGCTAGAAATTGTTTCATCTTAAATAAATATTATAAGGAAGATTATTCCTCTATCTTCTAAATGGCCATTTCATTTTTTAAGCAAAAAGCAGCTCTGACTCCAATTGCAATGGGATGAAGATTTTTAGTTTAATGACTGTACTGAAGAAAGAAGTCATCTGCAAAATGCATATGATTAAATCTCACCCTGGATCAAATTGGAATGCAATTTTTCATATTAAATTTTGGGATCAGGGGAAAAAAAACAACCAAACAAACCAGACCATTTACAAAATGTATTGGCTTGTGGGATGGGTTGGTTGTTGGTTTTGTTTTTGTGGGGTTATTTTTCATCTTGGATTTGTGGTATCTTTTGGTTACTTTTTTTTTGCTTGGTTGGGTATTTTTTTGCGGGGAGGGGGTTTGTGTGTTTCCTTTTTCTTTTAGATGGGTTTTAGCTTTTTTGGGGTTGCTTTTGTTTGGTTTCTTTGAGTGGTCATGATGGAGAATTGGGAAAAAATTCACCTCAGCTTGGAAGAGAACTGGGAAATTTACTTCTATATTGCTTTGCTTTTATGAGTAAGAAGGATTAAAACCCCAATGTGAGTACCCACACATATACAGACAGGAAGTATCTGTCACCTAAAATATGTGGCATAATGGAAATCCACCATCTTCTCTCACTTTCTTGGTTTTGTGACAACAGTTGTTGATTATCATTTAATTCTTTGTTCCTCAGCAGTGCAATCAGCTGTTTCCTGAAGGCAGAGAGTTTAGACCTTACTTCTTACAAATATCCAGCAGAAGTGGCTTGAAATGAGCCCTTTAGGGGCAACTGAATCACAGCACAGCCTTGCCAGGGTTACTGCTGGAGTCACTGTTTGGGGTCATCTCATTTAAATGACAATGCCAAAGTTCAGGGCTTAAGAGGGGAAAAGAAACTACTGTGCTAATTCCTCATATTCACATTTTATTCCCATCAGATCACCTACCAGTGAGATATTTCCCTCAAAGCATCAGTAGCTGATTTCAGTTTTTAATATGTAAAATGGAGCCTGATCCAAAATTACATGCAATTAATGAGTCCAGAGTGAATTGCTTGATCAAGATAAATTACTTTACTGCAAGCTACTTTTGCTTACAGGGATTGCCACTAAAATGCCACTTCAAAGTAATAAGAAATTAATAACTGATTTGAAAGTTACTAAAGCAAGTTTATGGACTAGTGGCATCACCTGCCATTGCTGCAGTAAACCTTTAAACACATTAAATGCTGTTTTCTTAGGCAATACCCACTCTACATCATTGGCACCTTTTGCTCAAATTACATTAAGGATTATTCCTAAATTTAATTTGCTTTGTATGCTAGAATTGACATTAGAATTGTATGCTAGAATTGACATTTGCTTTGCATACTAGAATTGACATTTCATGACATGAAACAAGAAGAAACAAGAAGTTATCTTAAGTTCAGCACATTTCTGAATAAAATATGCACTTTTATCAGCTCTCTGTGCCAGCACACAAACATAATTACCTTTAGAACATAGGTTCTTATCACTGTCTTGCAACCTTTAAAACCTGCTTGCATACAGTTATCACAAGTTGGTTATCAGGAAAAATAATGATCTTCTGTGTTTGGGAAGTCACTGAAGACATCTGTAACTTGAAAAAAAAATCCATTATATAATGCTTACAAGTGATCCTATAGATTAAAACAAGGAAAATGATACAAGCAGCCTCTGAGATAAAGGTACAGGATTGGTTGGGATAGGTTTAGTTTCAATTTTTTTCCTCTGTAAGAAATTTGTGTTTACACTTTAACAGGCAAGGCTAGAAACCCTCAGAGACTGAAGTGAAGGATTTGCAAAGGAATGCCAGACTCCTTCAGGGATCACACATGGTTAAAATTCAATATCCAGCACTGGAACAGAAAGCTTGGGAAGCCCCACTGAAGAAAGCAGCAGCAGCTGTAAGTGACAGAAAGGATTCTCAACCACCCAAAACCCTTTACTTTTGAGTCTGGGCCTTCTGAGAATCCAATCCAACTCCATTCCCTTGTTACTTGAGATGTGAGGAGAAACATGCATTGATTTTGAAGTTAGTTATGCTTTGACTGGGCAAACATATTCCAATAACCATTCAAATTCCTCCTCCAGCCCAAGGAAAAGTCTGTTTTATCAGTCAGAAACAAAAGTTTAACCCAGCAGCAGCCCTGGGCTCATGGGCCCTTAGCACATCCTTTGCCATCCCCAAACACTTCATTTAGCACTATAAAACACAACTAGTCCTGAGCCACTTCACTCTCCAGAGATTATAAAATATAACCCCCCCAACTACTAATTTGTGTACCTTTTGCACTAGGGATATTAGGGAGTGCATAAAAATAACACTGCATTATCAGGTTTTATTATTCCTCCGGCACTGTTTGCAATTTTGACTAGTTGCTGTCAGGTTGGCTTTTAGAAAAACAATTATGCCTTTAGTACATCAAACACTAGGAGAAAGACAAAAGGAAATTATATCCAGCAAGGCATTCAACCATTACTTTTTGATTGTACATTAGTGCAAGTTGCACAGGA